ATCTTTCTTTTGGTTTTACTCCAGTCAGCATTATCAATTTACATACAAACAAGCATGACAGTAATTTATGCCAAACAAGACAACATACAACATCGGTTTTTCAGTCATTCAACCCATAATCAATAAAACAGTAAAATATGCACACGAAACTATGAAATGAAAACATCAAACCTCATACTGCATTTAAAACTATAAAATAGGCCAAATAACAGTTAACCGACAAACACACTAGACTCAGGCTCCATTAGCGACCTTAAGCAATTTCACACATTCGTTGATTCAAGAAATACCGTTTTATCATTATTGAACTTTAATACCGTGATAGGAAGTAGGGTGAGGGGTCCTTACTCGTTTCAGGGTCCGAACACGGCTTCACAGTGCGCCTACAGGCTGTCCCTAATTTTCCCTGAATTTTTTCCGGGGAACTGAAACGCACTATCGGTACCTGTACGTGTTCCAAAAAATCCCAAATTAGGCCCAGGGCCCCTTTTTGGCCAATATCGCAATTCCGGCACGGCGGCTCCGCCGTGCTCCGGCGACGGCGGCGGCGATTCGCCTCGAGTTGGCCATTTTCGGCCGAATTCGGCCACACTTGCATCGGTCCCTGCGATAAAACAACCTTAGGGCCCTCGGGGGGCCAAAAAAATTACGAAAAACCGAAGCTTACCAGAGGCGGTGCTCTTGGGTGCGGCGGCTCTCCGGTGAGGTTCGTGTTTTGGTGATTCGGCTCCGATCAACCTGTAGAGAAAAGAATGGTGATCACGGTGATATAAAAATTGCATCAAACGGAGGCCGGGAAGGGCCTCATCGGAGGCAAAAACCGAGGAGGGGCGTGGTAGCGCCGCTGGATTTCGGCCGTGTTTTCTGGCCGTTTGGTCGGGATTTTAGCTCCGATTTGGCCACAGGGAAAATCAGCGTGGAAAAACGAGTCGGGAGTATGAAATTTACCTCGATTGGCGGTCAGAAATCTCCCCGGTGCGGCGCTGGGTGGAGGCGGCCGGCTTCTCCGGCGTCTGGTTCGTCTTCTCCGGCGAGGGCAGGCGGCTAGGGTTTTTGTGGTCAGGTGTAGGGGTTCTATTTATACCCTTTTGCCTTTTGATCTCAGCCGTCCATTTTGATTTAATCTGGGCCGTCCGTTTTTGATTGAATCTGGGCCGTCCGTGCGATTGCATCTGGACCATCCGTGTGCATGCTTGATCTGGGCCGTCCGATCACGCGTACGCGGATCGCCAACGTGGCCCGTCCCCGGGTCAACGTGGTCTTGCCACGTGGCAGGTCCTGGTTGGTCAGGACTGCTGACTGGACCTGCTGACGTGGCTGCTGACGTGACGCTCTTTTTTTTTTTAACTTAATAAAAATAATTAATAAGAAAATTACAAAAATACCCATGTTTGGCCGTTACAATAATCTTTTGTGTTATTACTTTCTCATTCTCATTATTATTACAGTCATTAATATACTCTTTATTTATGCCAATTTGTAGGAGCACTTGAATCTTCATATTATGGAACTTTGGCAA